GAGCAGAACCACCTGGAGAAACCTCCACACGGAGCAGAAAAGACACCCGGAGGCAGAGATACGTTCCAGAACTGGTCTTCAGTCAGACCAGAAAGTCTCACGTCTCCCCTCCGTTCACTGAGCTTCACTGGTTACCCCCGGTTACCTCTTTATTGAGCATGTATTTGATATAAAAACTTCATTTTCAAGAAGGACCTAAACTGGTTCAAAAAGGACCTAAACTGATCCAAAAGGGACCTAAACTGGTTCAAAATGGACCTAAACTGGTCCAAAAGGGACCCAAACCGGTCCAAAAGGGACCTAAACTTCTCCAAAATGTACCCGAACTAACCTATGGCTATCCCCGATTCCCCCCGATTACCTCTTTAGTGAGCATGTATTTGATATAAAAACTTAATTTGACAACCTGTCCTGTCCCATGGAGCTGAACGCACCACCCAAACTAACCCAATCCAGCCCAAAAGGGACCCAAACCGGTCCAAAAGGGACCTAAACTGGTCCAAAAGGGACCCAAACTAACCTCTGGCTAACCCCAGTTACCCCTGGTTACCCCCATCAAATTCAAGTCCCTGATGCAGGGTAAGAAATGACCGATCCACCTTTATTGTCCGGTGTGAGAAAATCAAAAGCTGTCAAAATAAACAGGGAATCAACAAAAATCCACAAAAAAAACGTTTTTGTTTGAAAATCATCGTCCCTCCATGTTATCTTTTGGCCTGATTTGGGTAAGTTTGTGTCCCTTTTGCTCTGATTTGTTTAACTTTAGAGCCTCATATGAACCTCTTTATGATCCCTCTTAATACATTTCTATCTCCTACTTCCTCAGCTGGACTCAGACTTTTGCTTTAGAATAAGATCGTTCAATTCTTAATTTCGCTAAGGTAAATTTCCACAACTGAATATTTTAAAGGTTCTTTCCTCCTTCTAGGTCTCAGAGAAGGTCTCCTCATATTTGGTCTAACAATCTTTTGTCTGGAGGACTGTTTCCCTCTGGGATTATTAAAGTATTTCTGATTCTGATTTAATACAGATGCAGAATGAAGGACAGACTTTAGGTCTTAAAATACTCTATGATTTGTTTAACTTTAGAGCCTCATATGAACGTCTTTATGATCCTACTGGACCCTACTTTTAACACATTTCTATCTCCTCCATCCCCACCTGTATGAAGTGGCTGAAGCTCTTCTTGCAGGAGGGGCAGGTGAAGCTCCCGTCCACGGCGTGCACCTCCACGTGCTCCTTATATTTAGTCTAACAAATCCTTTATCTGGAGGACTGTTTCCCTCTGGGATTACCAAAGTATTTCTGATTCTGATTTAATCCAGATGCAGGATGAAGGACAGACTTTATGTCTAATTTCAGACTCAGATTTGATCAAATGCTCTGATTTGTTTAACTTTACAGCCTCATATGAACCTCTTTATGATCCCGTTTAACACATTTCTATCTCTCACTTCCTCAACTGGACTCAGATTTTTTAACTTAGAATATCAATGTATCAATCAATATATCCATAGTTTCCATAGTTGAATATTTAAAGGTTCTTTCCTCCTTCTAGGTCTCAGAGAAGGTTTTCTCATATTTAGTTTCTTACATTAAGAGGAGTTTAAGTCCTATTTCAGACTAAAATCCTCTGATTTGTTTAACTTTAGAGCCTCATATGAACCTCTTTATGATCCCTTTTAGGACATTTGTATCTCCTACTTCCTCAGATGGACTCAGACTTTTGGCTTTAGAAGAAGATCGTTAAACTCTGAGAGTGTGAGGGGAAATCAGTATATGTATAGTCACTTTCTTAATTTCTCTATGTAACTTTCCACAATTTGATATTTTAAAGGTTCTTTCCTCCCTCTAGGTTTCAGAGAAGGTTTTCTCATATTTAGTTTCTTACATTTGAAGGACTGAAGGACAGACTTCACGTCTCATCTCAGACTCAGAGGCTATAAAATGCTCTGATTTGTTTAACTTTAGAGCCTCATATGAACCTCTTTATGATCCCTTTTAATACATTTCTACTTGTTACTTCCTCAGCTGGACTCAGAATATCAATGTATCAATCAATATATGTAGAATCACTTTCTTAATTTCCTAAGTTTTCATAATTGAAGATTTTAAAGGTTCTTTCCTCCTCTTAGGTCTCAGATACGGTCTACTTATATTTAGTCTCTTACATTAAGAGGAGTTTAAGTCCTACTTCAGACTTAAATCCTCTGATATGTTTAACTTTAGAGCCTCATACAGTGGGGGAAATAAGTATTTGAGCCCTTGCTGATTTTGCAGGTTTGCCCACTTACAAAGAATGCAACGATCTATAACTTTAATCATATGTACATTCTAACAGTGAAAGACAGAATCCCAAAGAAAATCACATCATATAAAACATATGAATTTATAAAAATTGATAACCATCTGATGAGGAAAAATAAGCATTCTTTGTAAGTGGGCAAACCTGCAAAATCAGCAAGGGCTCAAATACTTATTTCCTCCACTGTATGAACCTCTTTATGATCCCTTTTAATACATTTCTATCTCTCACTTCCCCACCTGTATGAAGTCGCTGAAGCTCTTCTTGCAGGAGGGGCAGGTGAAGCTCCCGTCCACGGCGTGCACCTCCACGTGCTCCCTGAGCACCTCCAGCCTCTCGAAGCTCTCTGGGCAGAGGAGGCAGGAATAGGACCGGGTTTCTGCGTGCAGCAGAAGGTGCTCCTCCAGAGCCGCGTCGCTGATAAAGCCCTGGCTGCAGATGTGGCAGGAGAAGGCCGAGGCCTCGCGCCCGTGCACGCGCACGTGCACGTCCAGCTTCTCCTTCTCCCGGAAGGCCTTCCCACAGTGGCTGCACTTAAAGGGCCGGAAGCTCTTACGGACGAAGAGGTGCTGCAGGGCCGCGTTCTGAGGCGGGAAAGGAGAGAAAAGGGGTCATTAAGATGGATTTATGCTAACAAACTTTCTACAAAGTATGGGGACAATTCACAGACTTCTTGGAAAAACAGCAAGATGCATAGGCTGTATATTTAAACTGATTTTGTATGATAGATAAGTGGGTTGTTTTTCCCTTTCCTTTTTTTTTCCAATGTTGTTTTGTTTTGGGTTTTTTTATTTTTAAAAAGGTATTTTTCTTCTATGTTGCTAAACACGTATTTTTGATCAATGTTGTTGAAAAATTCAATAAATAAAAAAAAAACAAAAAAAAAACAAGTTCACGTCTAATATTGTTGTAAAAGTTGAAAATTTCAATAAATAAAATTCTAAAAAAAAAAAAGAAACAGGTCCGGAAGCTCTTCCGGAGGAAGAGATGCTGCAGGGAGGCGTTCTGACGCAGAAACGGGGAGAGGGAGAGTCATTAGGACGGATTTATGCTAGACTTAGACTTAGACTGAGACTTAGACTGAACTTTATGGATCCCTTGGGAAGACTCCCTCAGGAAATTAAGGTTACCAGAAGATACTGGAGAGGCAGCCGTCTACACAGCGCCAGAATGCTAACAAAGGGAAGCTATAAACTTTATACAAAGTATGGGAACAATTTACAGACTTGGAAAAACAGCAAGATGTCCAAGATGCATAGGCTTTATTTCAACATCATTTTTGTTTTTTTTGTTGATTTCCTGTTTATTTAGCATGTATTTG